CAGCATAGGAATTAGGTGCTGGAGATCACACTGAAGGCGCATGGTTCCTGCCTTCCCTGATGCCATCTGTGCCATCTGTGTTACTGTAGCCATGGTGGAGGCTTTTCAGGAGTAAACCTCTAAAACTTTTCTGCCGGGATAGTCCACATTCATTACTCTTAAAATAGCCTTTTAGACTAAAAGAACCAGATCTTTCTTGACCCTTCAGATTTTGAAAGCTGCTAGTCCTACTCTTTTTTGGTCTCAGTCTCATTTTCCACTTTTGGAGACCCAGCTCTGTCTCTCACAAGCGGTATAACTGTGAGCAAGTAACTTAACATCTTTGGGCCTTACTTTATTTGTGAAAAAGGGATGGCAATGATTCCCACCTCATGAGTTAGGAGGATTAAATGAAATCATTCCTATTAGCACAGTGTCTGCCACATAGTAAACAATAATAAATGGAACGAATAAAATGATTGCGTTTTCCATGCATCTTGGAGAGCATTGGAGGCCAGCTCCTCTCCACTCTTTGCCCAGACTTGAGCATCTCACAGAGAAGAGCCACCTTTCATTGTATTATCTCTGTGTCTACAGCTAGTCCCTGCTTGGTGAATAGCAGATGCTTAATAGTATTGATTTATGACCTGATGATGGTGATGGTGATGGTGATGATGATGTGACCTATCTTCCAGGATTAAGGGGGGTAAAGTAAGAAAATGTGGCCGGGTGCTGTGGCTCACGCCTGTAATCCCAGCACTTCGGGAGGCCGAGGCGGGTGGATCACGAGGTCAAGAGATCGAGACCATCCTGGTCAACAAGGTGAAACCCCGTCTCTACTAAAAATACAAAAATAAGCTGTGCATGGTGGTGCGTGCCTGTAGTCTCAGCTACTCAGGAGGCTGAGGCAGGAGAATTGCTTGAACTCAGGAGGTGGAGGTTGCAGTGAGCCGAGATCATGCCATTGTACTCCAGCCTGGGTAACAAGAGCAAAACTCCATCTCAAAAAAAAAAAAAAAAAAAAGTCTGTGAGGCTGGGTGCAGTGGCTCACAATTGTAATCTCAGCACTTTGGGAGGCCAAGGCAGGTAGATCACCTGAGGTCGGGAGTTCGAGACCAGCCTGACCAACATAGAGAAACCCCATCTCTACTAAAAATACAAAGTTAGCTGGGCATGGTGGTGCACGCCTGTAATCCCAGCTACTTAGGAGGCTAAGGCAGGAGAATCGCTTGAACCTGGGAGGTGGAGGTTGCAGTGAACTGAGATCGCGCCACACTTCAGCCTGGAGAACAAGAGCGAAACTCCGTCTCAAAAAAAAAAAAAGGAATATGTGAAACCACACTTTTATAAATGGAAAAACATAACACTGTGTATGTCCCTCCACTAAGATATTTATCACAGTGTACTGTTCTTTATTTGTTTGCCTCTTTTTCACTCATAGTCCATGCACTTCTCCAAAGTGGAGACGACATCTTATCTCTAGTCCTTCTCGAGCCCCTGTCTGATATCCTACACAATATCAGGCATACCTTTGTATGTGCCATTTGCATTCAGGTGGTTTAATTGGATGCAAATGGCATACAAAGGCAAAAAATTGTAAAGCTGTTATTAGGGTAGGGAAAGAGGGCTGGTAAATACAAACTGGCCCTTCCTTCCCTCCTGGTGCTACTTTTACACTAAACTGTTTCTAAAATAAACCTCTTCTTAGGGGAATGATGAAATTGGATGAGAGAAAAGGTGAGGGTCAGGAATAATAGTTTCATTATCTGAGCAACTGGACATAAGAGGCTGGCACTTGGGCACATGGTCACAAATCTTTGTGTTGGAATTAATGCCACCAGACTCTAGTGTTGGAGTTCCATTTCTGATCATTATCAGCTAAAAATCATCAAAGTGTTTGTCATGCTCCAGGTGCCCTGGCTATTGAGTTGTGCCAACTTGGTACAGATTAGGGCACTTCTCCCGTTACTGGGTTGTTTGGGTCAGTATTTGAGGTTCTGGGATTGCTGGGCAATATGGGAAGGTAAGAAGTAGTACCTAAGTGAGGTCCTTGCTGCTCTGACTTCTCAGAGAGTCTTTTCCAAGAAGCTTCTCTTTTACATCCTTGGTGGCTCAAGTGAATATTCCGATGTGCAGGCTCATTGTTACAACAGCTCCTTATGTTGTGGAGGAACAGCCCCTGCAAAGTCGTGTTTTGAGACTGACACTTGAAAGCACCTCTTCTTGATCTTGGGGAGAAAGCTTGGCTGATGAGCTAGCATTATCAGAGATATGTTTATAATAGGCCCAATCCGGTATGTCCTGGGCCTTGGGTCTGGGCCCCCTAGGAATTTCAGGGGCCTACCCTCTCCTCTCCTCTTTTTTTTTTTTTTGCATAGATCTGAGTCCGGCTTGTTCTTCCTCTCTGGGAGCATGGCACTGAGTTTCAGCACTTATTTGGCCCCATTTCCCTATGGGTGAGGAAGCTAGCATCAGGAAAGTTTGAATACTGAGCTGCAGTATTTGCTGTTATTTGCTGCAATGGGGAAACCCAAAGGCCAAATTTCCAGAGAGTCTGCTGGGGATGCTGACTTGGTGCTGGTCAGCGTGGAAGCTGAAGCACATACTATTTTATAATAAATACTAATGAAATCCTAGATCTATAATAGCATTTCAGATATCTAAAACAAACCATGTGCTTGTTAAAAAGTGGAAAGAGATCAACTTTAAGCCATAAATTCTTGGTAATAGAGGGTTTTTTCTATTTATGTTTGATAGATATTTTTATTTCCAGAGGAATGTCAACTCCTAATTTCATAATGTATCATGGGCTTAAGAAAATTGAATTTAATAAAAAGCCAAAGATGAATGGCATCCTTAAAGGTCCCAACACTTGTCTTTATTAGCAGGACAAACTGTAGGTCTCCAAACACTGCTGCTCTCCAAATGAAAGTTTAAATGAAAAGTACAGTTGTGTCACAGGTTAAATTTCATTGTGGGCCCAGCTAACGTTGTTAGTGAGAAGCTGGCTATATTTGTTTCCTTAGACACCAGGGCAGCCAAACTCACCAGGCTATAGAGCTCTTTCTGTTGGGGAAGGGTTTCTTCTACTTAGGGGGAGAGGAAGGACCCATCAGAAAATCAGGAGTCAGATGGGCCTGACTCAGGGCCACACCTCAGAGTTGACTCTTGGAAATCATGGATACTGGATTTTGTAGGAGGACCAATGTGTATTTTTTTTGGTGTGTGTTCAGTTTTGTTATTCAGTACCAAAAGCCCCATTACTCTGTATGTAATGGTTCATGGGGAACAGAAGGCCCAGGGAATTGGGAAATGAGTGTTGCCCTCTCTTCACCTTGGGAGAAGAGGTATCACCCTGGTCTAAGCAGCAGCCTGGGCCTCCCCTCTCTCCCCTCTGCCTCAGCCTAGCAGCCATTTTGCCATTTCTACTTCTGGGAATAAGCTCCTGTCAGCTTCCTCATCTTTGGAGATTAGCCCACGGAAACAAGGCAACCAGAATCTTTGAATCTCTCTGGCATGAAATCTGACTGACTTGATTTGGTTTTCAATCCTGCTGTTTGTGTTGGATTGAAGTAGATGCTTTAAAAACAAGCCCAATATTAGTGGGTATGCTTTGAGGGGAGGATACCTGGCTTTCCTGGGACATCAAGGAGATTGATCATTTCTCCTGTTTTCCTACCCATTCATTTCCTAAGTGCCGTCAGGTGTCATCAGTTTCGTGTTGCTTCTCCAGGCTGTCTCTGGAGAGAACCAGTTTACCATGATTTTAATGATACTGGAAAGGTCTTCTCGGGAATGAAGGACCTGGGGAAGGGGTGCTGCTGGAGCTAACTGTTGGGGCCACTGAATGGGCAGAGCCCCCTTTCTTTTTCTGCAGTGGAGGCCCTTTCCACATGCTAATTTTACACAGAGAATTTTGCTTTTATTTATTTATTTTTTATTATTTCCTATTTGTCTCCTCCAGATGTTTTCAGGGCAGTTGTTTTTTTGTGTGTGTTGTAAACTAATTCCATTCATGTTTTAAAAATTTATGAAAGCGCTAATAAAAGTGTCAAAGTGGTAAAAATGTTAGCTTTTCCTCTGCTTTGATTAAATTTTGCAAACTGTTTTTGAATATTAAAAAGCAATAATTTTTTTTATTCTCTCTCCTTGCTTTCCCTCTTCTCCCTGGTATGCATGTGCTCTCTCTTGGCCTCTCCCCACTCTGCTGTGTTCCTCCCTTCCCAGGAGCGATGTATGAGGCGTGCTGCACAGCCAGCCTTCTGCAAGCCTGTTTGCACACCAGGAGCTTGGTGCTGTGCATCTCTATTAAATAGCGGAGACAAATTAATCTTAGAGACACCAAACAAATTGTCACTCCTCCTCCTTCTCTTCCATTATGTTTCAGTGGACTGGGAAGGGCTGGCTAAGCGATTGGGCTGGCGGTGCAGGGCTAGTGTGTACTGCCTGAAAGAAAGGTGGGAGGTGCTAGCATCTATTATTCTTACTCACTTTTCTCCTTCTCTTTGGGATCCCTTTTGGCTTTATTTTTTACCTTTTTTTTTTTTTTTTTTTTAAATAAGAACTAGTGAAGAAACGTACCAGCTCGGTTCAAACTTCATACAAGGTAATCTATGCACTGGTCTAATGGCTGGGTGTCTATATGGCAAGAGATCAGACCCATTTCAGGACAGGGGCCTGGGCAAGAGAAAGAAGGGCCTATTCTTAGGGGCTCAAGTGAGCAAGCCTCTGCTAGAGAACCAGTTGGAGAACCTGGGGAAGATGACACCCCTGTCTTCCTTCTTGTTTCCGGAAACAATGGGAATGAGAGCTGTGTCCAGTTCCTGGAACCTATGAGGATATTAGCAGTGGGATGGTTAGGATTGTAACTGTGCTGGCACTGTCTCACTCAGTCTCTTGGGTTTGGCCTGGCAGGAGCTAATGAACCCAAAACACTCATTCTTTCTTGACTTGGAGCTATTGTTGGAAATGGTCGATTACAATAACTTATTTTTCCTTTTCTGTATCTTTGGCACTCCAGGAAATCATTGAGTTCCCCATCCTGAAGCTAAATGGCCGGACCATGGAGATTGAGTCTACCTTTCACATGTATGTCCAGCCTGTAGTCCATCCACAGCTTACCCCCTTCTGTACAGAGGTAAGGGCCCTGGTATTGGGCAGCAAGGGCTGCTGGGAGGGGAATTTTAGAGTCATTGGTGCTCTATATAGGCCACTTAGGGAAAGCATGGGGCTTATCAATGCCTAAGGCAAGTACACACTAGACCTAGCAGTTAGGTTTGGTAAAGTCTGCCACTCCACTCAGGCCACTGTTGTGACTGGGGACCCAGGGAGAGCACTGGCTCAGTCTACCTCTGCTTCCCCAGCATCCCTTTTTGGTGACTGGTACTTGGAGACCAGGAACAGAATGGTACTTCCGGGGTTCAGGTTCTTTCTAGTTCCATTTCTCTTAGGGCCCCTTGTCAAGAAGTAAAGATTTCAGCCACTTGGAAGGCAAGGTTACGTGCAGGCCTTCTTAGCTTTCTGGCGTTGTTACTCTGTCCTCCCGTAAAGCAGCCCTGCGTGAAGCATAGGTTGAGTTTGTTGGAGGAACATCTGTCACCAAGAGAAGAGTGGTCTGAGCAAAGCATAAGGCCTGGCTGGCCAAGGCTGAAATGCCCTTATCCTAGGTGGGTGCTATACTTGGCTTCCTTGTTAGCAGGTTAGTATTGATCCCATTTTACAGCTTGTGAAACTGAGATTTTGATGCTTGCTGGAGGCTCAAAAGAGCTATTGGCAGCGGTGAGGAGCCCCTGCAAGTTCTGACTCCCAGGACTGTGAAGAAGCCTTCCGTGGCTGTTTCCCTGTGACATGTCATGTAATGCACTCAGTGGTGGCCCACAGGTTGTGGTGCAATCGGGTTGAGAATGTGTAGTAACAGGGGTGATGAGAATCTTTTAAGAGTCTGGGGTTGAGGTACATTAGAGACTTTGTGCCTTCATTTAGAGACCCATCTTCTACATGTGAATGAAATAGGTGGAAAGGGGTTCTCAAGTTGTAATCTCCCAAATAATCTCCTTGGTGAGGAGGCTGGGGACAAGGCTGCCTGACACTGGTGGGAGGGCTCCATGGGCCCTGAGACTGACTTGAGGTCTCGAGGTTGCTCCTGAATTTGATGCCAGTGTTTGCCAGCTGACCCAGGTAGGCCTTTTGTTGCAGGCATCCATTTGGGAAGGTGCCTAGCCTCTTAAGCCTTTTGTTATTCCAAATAATGATGTTGGGTTCTGGTTCTCTTTTTCTCTACTGTGTTTTCCCCTTTTCCCTGGGATTTACCTATACCACCAGGGGGCGCTAATCTGACTTTTCTGCCCCTTTTGAAAAATCACCATTTTAATGATGATGAAATTCCCTTTCTTATAGCAAGGGAAGGAAAGACTTCCTTTAGCCAGCCATTTTCCTGAGCCCTCCACTGGCCTGAAAGGCTAATGTCCTCTTGTCCTTGCATAGACAGGCAGGCCCAAATTGTGAAAAGTTTGCTACCTGTTTAGGAATGGTACAGAATTCTGCTGGAGCTGGACCCTGGGCAGGAGTGGATGCTTTGAGAGTGTCGGAAGAGGGACTTCTTTTAGAGTAAGGCTACTGCTGCTACTTTTTTGTGGGGATGGGAGGAGGGATTGTGAGGCTATGATGAACAGTTTCTTCATTCTGGAAAGCTTCACCCAAGGATGCACATACATAATTTGGAGGGGAGTAGGAGTGGTGATTGGGATCCTTATTATGAAGCCTGTTCTAAAAGTGCAAATGTGGTTGTTCTGTAGGCACTGGGTCTGCCATTTTGTCTTAGGTTTCTGGAGCTTAAAACTCTCCATGATCTTGTCCCTCCGATTTTGCCCAGCCTTATATCTCCCTGCTTCATCTCCCACCTAGCTCCCCTCACCCAGAGGTTGCCCTCTTACAGTCTGTCTTTTCACATGATGGTCCTTGCCTGCACAGGGTTCCCGCTCTTCTCGCCAACTCCTGCTTGACCTCCAGGATTCTGCTTAGGGTCACTTTCCCTGGTCCCCAGATTGAGTTGTGCTTACCCCAACACAGAACTGATCAGATACTTTATGCTATAATTATTTTTCTCTTCACTAGACTATAAGTTCCTTGAGGGCAGAAACTAGACCTGATTCATCTTTGTCCTATCATTAGGGTCTGCTACCAAGTAAACACTTGATATGTGTTCCTTAAATGAGTGAATATTGTCAAGGAGTTATTTTCTGTCTCCCCCTAAAAACACTGTACTGCTGACTTGTTATTTTGAGTAAGTAAAGCCTTGTTGGAAAACCTCAGATCATGTAACTATTGCTCTGTCTCCATACTAGATGGAATTGTATCTCTAAGAGGCATAGACTCAGAATGGGGGCTGTCATTCTGAGACCTCTTCCGACCTGGCAGTTGCTGCCTTTGGGGGTAGGGGTGGAGGTCATTCCAACCAAAGACAATCTCTTGTTAGTAAGTGAGGAACAACCTCAAGCATCCAGATTATACTTAAGTAGTTCTTTTGGCAGGATTTTCTCTCTTGTGCACCAGAAGTTCTTAAGAACCCCAGCCTGTGTGTGTGTGTGTGCACGCATGTGCGTGCACCTGCACATGCATACGACACATGCACACACATGGGCACATGCTTGTGTGGGGAGAGAAGCAGGCTCAGTGCTGTACAGTAGGAAGAAGGATTCCACTTTGAGTGAGTCCCTAGCACACACAGAGAGACTCTTACTGCTTCATATTAGGAATGTGTTAGTACACTTCTTAAGGTCCTTTCTTAGTTTCAGTTGATAGCCTGGAGACATGGTTCTGACAGATAGGATGGGATGTGTTTCATTCCTTCCCAAGTCCTTTCCCTGTGACTTCTAGAATCTGCTCCAGCTCATCAAATCTCTGTCTCTAGCAGCTGGGCTGCTGCACAGTCCCTAACCATGTCTTCTTTTTGTTGTTGTTGTCATGAAAAAAACTAGAGAAATACTCATTTTGCTAAATGCCAGTAAAGGGCTTTGTCTTGCACCTGTACTTATAAAGGGTGAGATTTATTGGTCTCTTTCTCTGAGGAGAAAGAGTGGGTCTGATTATCAGATTGTACACCAGAGACAAGTGCTTATGTAATCAACAAACTGTCTTGGTGTCAGAATACGATTGTGTTGGAGATAAACTGTGAAAGGAGAAAACGCTGGATGCTGACATGCTATTGGCACTGAGTTTCCTGGGCTGCTTCCTGGAGTTGCTAGTGTTTATGATGAAGCCAGCTCACTCCTGGACAAAGCCCTTGTGAGGGTAGGGGATCTCAGTAACCAGCCACGTTATCAGTCAGGGTCAAAAGCCCCTTGGCTTGTGGTTTCTGAATCTGGAGAAGTGGGAGTTAATCTGTAATCCCTCAATGAAAGGAGCCACAGAGCACACATTAATTCTTCCTCTCACCTCTCCTGCTTTAAGTGGCTAAGGTCTCTGAGCTCTGTTTAGCCTGTGAGCCCTGGTTCTCAGCTTAATAATACTTGGCTTTACTCTAGTACCTTTTGTTGTGAGGATGTAAAAGCTTTTAACAAACACATATTAACCCAAGTGGGACATGGCTTAAACTGTAATATGAAGGATTTAAGTTAGGCCTAAGATAGAACTTCCCAGTATTAATTTGATAAAATTGTCATGTTCCTTCCTAGCGTCTTGTATAAGCCTTAAAGGTGTCTTATAGGTCGTTAGTATCAGGTATAGGAACTAATTTTCACTTAAAAAAAAAAAACAAAAAGATGGGGTCTCCCTATGTTGCCCAGGCTGTTCTCAAACTCTTGGGCTCAAGCAGTCTTCCTGCCTTAGTCTCCCAAAGTGCTGGGATTGCAGACAAAGCCACCACACACAGCCCAGAACTAACTTTAATTTAATCCCTTCTTTGTCCAGTGCCTTGGCAGAGCTGATAAGCGGTGGTCCATCTTTGGAGGGATTAATATAGGGGCCTGAGGCCTTCCCTGAGAAGGCTTGTGTAGCTGAGCCAACTGCTCAAGCGTGTCTCTGGGGGCTATATGCAAATTCTTGAGGAACTCAGCTGTGAGCCTTGCCTTGCTGGGCCCCAGATGAAAATGGCTGTTGTCTGGGAACATGGTGAGAAAAGGAGCTGACCTCACTAGGCTCCTCCCAGGCTGATGATTCTAGGATCACTGAGCCCTGGAGTGGAGTTTGTGAAAGCCCCAGGATGATGGAGCTCTATTCCCCCTGCTCCAGGTGGGAGAGGTGGGCTTAGTCTGTAGTGAGACATCCTGCAGCAGAACACCTGAGCAGCACCCCGGTTTTCCATTTTGGTGTAGTGATTTTCTTGCCCCACATCAGTGATTTTACTGGGGCCCAGGGCAAGTGCTTATGGGTTACATAGGTGCTGACCTAAGCCTTATTAAGCTCCAGGAACCGAGGGTTCTTGGCAAGGGCGCATTGGTTTCCTGTGTGAGTCAGACTTTCTTGAAGTCCTTGGCATTCAGCTCATCTGAGTGACCGTTGGTGGGAGCCAAAGAAAGGAGTGGACCTAATCTTGCCCCCTGAAACTCAGACCAGACACAAAACTAACATTTCAACCCTAGAGCTTCCTAAGAAGTGAGAGTAGCTGTGGTCCCCCTTTTCCAGGATGGTCCTGATCCGAAGCCCCATCTCCAAGCTTGAAGATATATCTAAGCCCCAGGCTTAGCAGGAGAGAAGCTGGGCCAGAACGGGCAGCGGTGGGTCTGTGGGTGTCTATCACTAATCTGGGGCTGGTAATTAGCCTCTTTCTGACTCTCTTTGGCCCCTTCATGCCCAAGGCAAAACATAGGGCAACTGCCTGCTCAGTTTGTGGCTCTGGAAGGCATACAGGCTCTGAGTACTAGTTGGGGCTAGGCCTAGGAGGGGGCTGTGGAGAACACACATTCCATGAGGGCAAAGTTTCCACATTTTTCTTCACTGCCAGATCCCTAGTTCCTGTAATGCAGCCCAGCCCATAGTAGGCTGTCTATGAATAGTTGTTTACTAAATAAAAGGAGGAGTCCTTTGTACTCCAAGATCATTGAAGCTGCTGACCAAGGGCACTTCCCCACTCCCAGCCCCCGAGCCCTTAGCAGACCATCTTTTCTTCACTTTGACTCAGGCCCTCCCTCTACTGGGCAGTTCTTTGGTCTTCCAAGCAAGGAAAGGGTGTGGAGGTGCCAGTCGGGTGGGCATGCTGTGGCTTAAAGCTTTTCGAAACAACAGTGTAGTTAATCTTTCTAATTTATTTTCCTTTTAGACCATGGGAAGTCTGTAGGCAGCAGCTGTTACCCAATTAAAATACAGATTAATATAAAAACAGTTTCTGGAATATAAAATAGAGTGGCTATGTCCTTACACTTCCTTAAAATACCACCTAATAATGATTTGATGAACTACAGAAAAACCCACCTAGAGGAGCTCACATTCTTAAAATGAAAATTTCTTCCCTAAAATGTGTATATTACCATTCCATGTAAGTCGCCATGAGAAAATAACCTTACCTCTTAGACCAGCGATTTCTGTGTGTTGGGTATTTGGTATTCATTAAGTGTAATTATAGTTTAATTGGAGTTTAATCTCCCCCCCCCCCCCCAGCACACTTTAAAAAAAAGAAGTTTCCAAGCAAGCCTGAGAGACTGCTCTTTCTGGAAGTAGCCAGGGACATGCTGGGGGTGGTGATTTCCCGTTGATGTCCAGGACATGGGAGCTTCATGCCCTCAGATCCTTGTAGGCAATCTGTCTCTAGTCTGTACCTGAGGGATATTTTTACTTAAAACTAAACCAAAACAAAGCAAAACAACAATCTTGTTTGAATCCAGTCCTGACCTAGGTGGAGTGTAGGCCCGAGTCAGAAATTCTCCTGGCCATATTCTGAACATAGGGCCTTTTTGTATTAGTTTCCCTGCCAGTTGAAGGTGACTCTGTTTCTTGCTTGGTTGGTTCATATTGAGGGCCCACATGTGCAGGATGAAGGATAGGTGCCTGTGGCACGTCATGGATGTTAGGGAAGGTGTTAGGGAGAGTGTGGCAGTGAGCAGTGCTGGACATTGAGGCTCAGAAGGTGTAGACTTGAAGCCAAGTGTGCCTGTCCTGTGTGAGCACTCCCCAAGTTTTATAAGAACTTCTGTGAAGTTAGGAGCTGAATTTGAGACTAATTGCGGGAAGTTATTGAGCCTGTTGAATACAAAAGATATGTAACATCAGTTTGTTTGCAAAATGAAAGCTGAAGCAGGTGTGAGAATACACCTTGTGGTCAGTATATGTATGTGTACATCTATCTCAGGGCAAGATTTCATGGGAGCAGCTCACATTGTGTCCTGGGTCCTGGGACTTTATTCCCAAGGCTTCTAGTTGGGTTCTGAACCTAAAGCAGTGCCAGCTCAGAGCCCTTTACAGCAGGAGAAAAACAAAAAGGAAAGGGTCCAGTTTAGCCTTGAGTCCCTATACCCTGGTTTTCTACCCATTGGCTATTTCTCTTTCCTTTCAGCTCACCGGGATTATTCAAGCCATGGTGGATGGTCAGCCAAGCCTGCAGCAAGTGCTGGAGGTAGGTTGAGTGACCTTTAATTTCTGACCTCTGACCCCTTCCTGCTGCCTTTCTCTCCCTCCCCTCCTGAGAACGTAGCCGTGTAATTTGACTATGATTATGGCTTGATTAGAATAACATTTGCTGTCACATCAGTGACATGCTGTTGAGAGTATTGAACCATTGATCTGTCATCTCCAGCTGTTCCCGTCAGGGTTTCTGACAAGATGTCCCAGTGCTGCCAGGAGTCAGGCAGAGGGGCCCCCACCCCTTCCTGGCCTATGGCCCTGTGCTGGCTGGCTCTAGGGTAGCCTACACTGGGTGGGCTGGGGAGTAGCGGAGCTGGGCTGTGGCACGGTGAGACTGGCCCTGGGGACTGGAGGTGTTTTTGTTTAGCTTTAGTGTTGGCTTCTTGTGGCATGTGAGCACTTCATTAACTCACCCAGAACTCCCCATTGATGGCTTTTGTTTGCTGTGAGCTCCTCCAGGAGCTGTGGCTGGGCCTGCCTGCCCCACTGCAGCTTGCCGCTGGATGCATTGTGCCTGTTGGGTACAGAGGCTGCACTGGGTAATGATTCCTAATCAGAATAATTACAACAATTGCCTGTGTGAGGGAAATCAAATTAAAGACTTTAAAACCCTTGGCAGAGACCACACTTCTAGGATGTTCTCCTCAGGGAGCTAGAAAAGGTTAAGATGCTGCTTCTTGCGCTGTGGCCCAAGGGAATAAGGAAGGGCAGTGCTTGGTCTTAGCCTGTCTTCCACCCTCCTCTGGCCTGGAGGTTTTCACAGGGGGAGAAGGTCCCCCTCCCATTTCTTTCTTTATAGGGGGAGGGGAGAAGAGAAAAAGCCTGTGGATCTCATTAGGTTCTTTATTTATTTTGAAGACCAATAAAGCCAAAGCTCAAACCTTATCGAAATATAGGAGAAAGCAGAGTATCTGCAGGAATAGCAGGGCACATCTGCACTGGAGGTGTGCAGCCTAGAGGAAGTAGTATGGTGGCAGGGAGCAGGGCAAGATATCTTTCTTTAGCCAAGAGATCCTGTCCCACAGAGGAGAGAGATGCAGATTGAATTTTGTGGGGCTCCCAAGGAAGGAGCCAGGGTCAGAGAGGCAAGTTTAGACTCACCTTAGTGGCAGAGTGTATTTCTTCTTCCTGGGAGTGTGGGAACCCAGGCTTTGTGACCAGTCTGGTTGCGGGGGTCAGGTTTGGGCACCTGTAGTAGATTGGGAGAAGAGAATATGAGCTCTGAGAAGCTTCCCAGCTATACTGACCTCCTTTTTTTGAAGAGGCTCATTCCTGTGACCAAGGGAGCTCCTTAGCATGGACTGTCCCTGATAAACCAGACTCAAAGAGACAGAAGGAACTCGTTGTTTTCTCTGTCCCAGCCATCATCCCCAGCCAGGGCCTGGCTCCTGAGGGATGCCTGAAGATAGGCAGCTTCTTCCCGGAACATATGTAGCTGGGATCCTGGAAGAAGATACTTGCTCTGGGCCAGCACCAAACTAGGACTGTTGAGGTTATGGGTTTTTTTCTCAATGACCCTAGTTGAGGAGGAGATGTTGTCTTCAGGAGGCAACACCCTGTTAACCCTAGGCCAGCCCTGAAGCAGGGCATTCACAGAATTCTGAGTCTCACCCAGGAAGCTACTTTCTGCTACTGCTACATACTTTGTGGGTAAGGAGGGAAGATTCCTGGTATCAGCCTGAATAGAGAGTTTCTGGCAGCACTAGGAGACCAGACCAGGCTCTGCTTCATCTCATTAGTCCTGAGTTGGTTCTAGAGCTAAATAGCTTGTTTCTTGTCCCAACCAAGACCCTTAGCAGGCAGTCAGCTAGATGTTTACCCTATTGATTTGTTCTAAGTAGAGCTCAGCCTGGACCCCACTAGAACTTCAGTAACTGGGATGGCTGGCCCAGCTGATTGAGGTGTTGGTGGTTCCTCCAACCCTTATTCATTCAAGCAGAGAAGGAAAGGAAAAGGACAGGCCTGATTCAAAATGTAGTATCCCTTCCCTGGACAGGCTCATAGTAAAAGATGCTCACTAAATAGCTGCTAAGTCCTAAGCTTCCAGGGACCCTAGTGAGTGTTGAGTGCTTCTCATGATAAGGGCCCAGTTTTGCTGAGTGTGTCCTCCTGACAGTCCTGTTGTGTCTTACTCTTTCACAGGAGTTAGGGCACTGGGGAGCCCCTCTAGTATGTGGGGCTCTTAACTTGGAGATATAAAGCAGTGAGCTGGGGGAGACGTTATGCTGACTTATGGAGCCCCAGTTTCACCTTACCTCTTTTCTTAGGTGACCCAGGGGAAGGGATTCACGTGTATGTGGGTGTGTGCATGCGTGCACATACATGCAAGGAGCTGGGCCAAAGTAACTGAGGAGATAGACCATTCAGCAGTGGATGATCCAGAATTTACCTTTTGGGAAGATTCTTTGGCTGAGGAGGATTCTCTGTAAAGAGGGTTTAGAGACTACATGGTCTGCATAGTCTGGCACCGGGAGCAGCTCTGACATTCTGGTTGGTAGGACTGACGTAGCCATGGAACTAGGTAGGATCCTTGGCCTTACTTAATCAGGGGTGACTTTAGCATGGGCCAGGCCTCTAGCATCTCAGAGGTATCCAGGGAGCCAGCCTATACCTGCTAGAAGTAATCTTACTTAAGATACTTAAAGATATCCATGGGCTCTCTATCACCTGCTGAGCACATGAGGCCCTTCACAGTCTGGCCTAACCTAGTTTTCCAGTCTCTGTCCTTCCTTTCTATATACTGTGGACTTCAGTCACCCTAAACTTTTACCTACTCATGTTTTCAGTCAGTCAGCAAATATCTCTTGAGTAGATCCTGTGATGGGTGAGAAATTAAGGCAGTGAGTGAGACAGAGTTTTCATGGTGCTTATAGTCGCAAGGAACCAGATGTTAAACAGATAATTGCTTCAAATACAAAATTATTGTGCATGTACCTTTGTCTCTGCCTGTAGTATCCTTTTCTATGTTCCACCATGTCAGGTTCCTAGTTCAACTATCTTCTTTGTGAAGCCTTTTCTGACTCCTTTCCCTGTAAAAGGTAGGGCTAGCCACTTCCTCTTCTTGGTCCTGTAGCATTGCCACGGGTCCATTGCTGCATCTTGTATTATGATGATCTGCCTTTCTCCCCTTCTCAGCCTACTGCCTGTTTTGTGGTAGGTACTTTCAACATTATCACATTTAATTCTCAGAACAACTCTGTGTAAAGTTTTATAGATGAAGGAAACTGAGGTTCACAGAGGTTACATGACTTTTAAATAACTCTCCCTCAGTGACACAGCCAGGATATGGAATAGCCAAGGGTTGGAATCCAGGTGTATCTGGCTTCCAATCCTGCATTTTTAACGACTATGTGAGATAGCCTTAAAAAATAATCCTCTTGCGTGGGTAGAAGCAGTGATGTGATCTGTTGCACTACCTCTTTGTGCCTGGGACCTTCTGAAAAATAGCCAATGCTTCATGAATTCTTTTCATTTATTATTTTTTTATTTTTTACAGAGTCTCGCTCTGTTGCCCAGGCTGGAGTGCAGTGGTGTGATCTCAGCTCACTGCAACCTCCACCTCCTGGGCTCAAGCAATTCTTGTTGCCTCAGCCTCCCAAGTAGCTGGGATTACAGGTGTACAGCACCACACCCAGCTAATTTTTGTATTTTTAGTAGACACAGGGTTTTGCCATGTTGGTCAGGCTGGTTTCAAACTCCTGGCCTCAAGTAATCTGCCTGCCTCGGCCTCCCAAAGTGCTAGGATTACGGGCCTAAGCCACCACACCCGGCCTTGAATTGTGTATGATATTTCTCTTGTTGTATACTGATTTTAGCATTTGTACTTCCAGTGTGAGTGCAAATAATAAAACTGATCAAAGGGATGAAGGGAAAGAAAGTTTAGAGTGTTTAGGAGCAGTGTTTCTCCCTGTGTAGGAATTGAGCTCTGCCTTAAAATATCCTTCTAAATTTGAATCCTCAACCACGAAGAAGAGAAACACGAAGTCGTGGGCCAGTTTTTGAACTTTTAGCAGCTAGAGCAGGCAGCACTCTCCCAGGTGTCAGGATGGGGCTCCAGCCCAGTGAAGGGGCCTCTTCTGAAGGTGAAAATGTTCATCACCTTCATTTGGTGAATAAGCAAATTCATAAGTTTGGTTAATAAACATTTGGTAGAAGGGTAAAGTGAATAAATGAATGAGTGAAGCTGTGGGTGGAAGCCCCTGCCTGGGGCCTCCTTCTAGCCTGTTCTCATGCCCTAGGACAACAGCCTGTCTGTGCTAGGCCAGGGGACCAATAAGAGGAAGCCAGGTCAGAGCAAGGTATTTGGACTGACCTGCTGGGATCTGGGGAGGCTGCTGGGCAATAGGCAAGTGTAGGGGCTCCCTCCTGCTACACACTCAGGCTGCAGGATCTTCCTGAAGGGGTTCTCTTCCAAGTGCTTTTGTAGTTCTGACCAAGGCTGAGAGCCCACAGTGGGGCCATGGCTGGATAAGATTACAATTTTCTCCTGCTCTGATTACAAGCAGCTTATTTGCCTTTCACTGTTGTGGCTCTTCACAGGCTCAGGAAAAAAAAAGGAAAATCTCATCTGTTCTTGTGTACTTTTCAGAGGGTCGATGAGTGGATGGCGAAGGAAGGCCTCTTAGATCCAAACGTCAAGTCAATTTTTGTCACCTGTGGAGACTGGGACTTAAAAGTCATGTGAGTATGAGAAGGGCTACTTTGCTGTCAGGACTTGGAATCTGTAGGACCAGGTCTTGCCTGCTAGAGCCTTAAATGTCTACAAGTCAGCTGGGTGAGGGATTCTTCAAGTCTTTGAGGCTACCAGGGATAGAAGAGGATTGGGAGCCCTGCCTTCTGCCTCTCTGGAGCAGTGTGTGTGCAAGTCAAGGGACTGCCTGGACGGTTGGGGTCTTCCTGCCTTTGCCAGGTCTCACTGCTCACGACAGCCCTTCCAATTGTGGGGTTGTATGTTATTACCTTGGAAGGGAGGAGGTAAAAGAGCATCTTGAAAAAAAAAAAGTTGAAGCCAAATACAGTGTTTATTATGTAATGAAATACAGTAACTTATTTATCAACCATATAAAGTAGGCATTATTATTTTTCCTATTTTATAGCTGAGAAAATAAAGGCACAGAAAGGTTAAGTAATTTACCAAAGGACACACAGAGCCAGGATTCAAACTCAGGTCCTTGCTCTTAACTATTATACTATGCTGCCCCTTTATCTGGCCTGCAAGACCCTGGTGATCCAACCAGGATCCCAGTGGTGGGATAAGAGAGGGCTACTTCCAGGAAGCTGCCCAAGTTACCAACCTCCTCTTTCCTCCTTTGTCCCCACTACTTTTTTACCTTTGTCTCCTGATCCTGTCCCAGTTACGGAAGGCAGAACCGGTTTCTTTGCTGGGTTGACACTTGTGCATTTGTTTGCCCTATTGGATACATGGCTTCAGATGGCCCCCAGGGAACTGAAATGGGATGGAGGTGGTGGGGGCACTGTTTGCTGAGGAGTCATGGAATCGATTACGTCTGTGTTCGTTGTGACTGAAGGTAGCAGCAAGTATTCTCTCACTGTGTGTGTGTGTGTGTGTGTGTGTGTGTGTGTGTGAACTTTTGAGCATAAAGTGGGATGTTGGTGAGGGCTATAGTATAGTAGCTCTGGAGTAACGTTCTCTACCACATCAGATGTCATCTTCTCAACAAGACCCTTTGTAAGCCTTTTGGATGCCAGGCATTGAGGTGATGTTATATACCCAGGTGGGTGTCAAGCCCGCTATTGGACTCCAACTTTCCAGGTGAGACAGGAGGAACAAAAGGCCCCAAATCACATGAGCACACACAAACCTCATCTCCCACACCCGTGTGTACACACATTGACTATACCCCTCTTGGTTTACTCCAGAGGGTCTCCATATTCCCATATGACACCTCTGTCAGGGAAATTATACAGGCTGGGACTAGAAGGAAATATGAATCAGAGGAGGAGTTCATGGAGAAGGAGAGGAGGAAAGAAGGCTCTTGTTCTTATTAATGGGGTCCTGGGCAGCTTTGAGTCCTTAAAGTGAGGAAGGGACCTAATGTGGAGCTCTGTAGCCCAGGAGAAGCTCTTCAAGGTGGGGCCAATTTCAGGCTGATTCCCAGAATTCTGGGGTTCGTATGGCCCAAGAGGAAGGCCCTTTGACCCAGTCCAGAGGTCTGCTTCCTCCAGGTAGCCTCACCAGGACTCCCATTCGTCCAGTATTTTTCTCTCTTTGCCATCTTCACCTTCCAAACACACACATTTCAGAATCTTCTACTTTAACTATGCACGATGTGTACATATATGTATATAAGAAAACTTTCCTGTGCACGAGGTTGGAGACTATATAAGCTTGGAGTTGGTCTCCCCATGAAATGGAGAGGGAATTTCAGAGGATGCTGTCTTCTTTGGGTCTGGCCTGTTCTGTAGCACAGTGGGCCCTGAACAGGTATTGGTGACTCAGGAGATTGCTCTGCTGGGTTGTGGAACTCAAGCATATATGAAAGGAAGCCAAGTTTTTTTTTTTTCTTTTTGAGACAGAGTCTTGCTCTGTTGCCAGGCACCAAGCTGGAGTGCAGTGGCGTGAGCTGGGCTCACTGCAACCTCTACCTTCCGGGTTCAAGCAGTGCTGCTGCCTCAGCCTCCCAAGTAGCTGGGACTACAGGCACGTGTGCCACTGTGCCCAGCTAATTTTTTTTTTTTTTTTTTCAGTAGAGATGGGGTTTCACCATGTTGGCCAGGATGGTCTCAATCTCTTGACCTCATGATCCGCCTGCCTTGGCCTCCCAAGGTGCTGGGATTACAGGCATGAGCCACTGCGCCCGGCAGAAGCCAAGTTTTATGAGTGCATACCTTACCATATCCACACCTCTTGACTACCATCTCTGGTGGGTGGTGGTATTGTCTTTCTTTTGTAGATGAAACAAACCAAAACCCCCTGTGGCTAAGAGAGCTAAAGACATGTAGCTAGACAGAATTGAATTCTAAGACCACTTAGTTTCCAAAAGAGATGGGTAGGGCAGACTTTGTGGGCTGGTTTGGGTTTGGACTGGGAAGGCTGGTGAAGCTTCAGAAAAGGGTGTGCAGAAAGGAAGCAGGTGGCAGGGCTTGGGGGAGGGAGCTCTGTGGCTGCCTCTTATAAGCAGGTCTCTGCATAACTGCTGGGAAGGCTCTTAATTAAATGTGTAACAAAATAAAAACAGCCGGAGAGGAAACCTAAGTAGTGCTGCGTGACAGCGCACAGCTAATCGGTGTTCCTGGAACCTCTCGGCAGAGGCTCGTCAGATGGCTCTCGTCAGAGCCGTCACCTTTTTATGTGCCCGGTAAAGGCTGCAGATGAGCCTGACAAGGGTGGTGGTAAATTGACACTCACAACTTGTTAGTCTGTGGCTTACTTCTTATTTTGACATCCATTTTCAGATTTAACTAAGTCTAAGGAATTCAGCAAACATTTTCATTTACACTCTAGTTTCTGGAAGCTATGGCTCCTTCTCATTGCTGTCCTTACCTCCTGCTCCCCTTCTCCCCCCAGCCAGCTTCACATCACTTTTGTTGGAAAGGGGCTGATTAGTGAGGCACTGAGAAATGGGAACTGAAGTGGCAGCAGAAATCCCACTGGAGAAAAGAAATCTGCTCCCATCCTGACAAATCATTTTATGTCCATCTTTTGTCAAAGCCAGATGAGTTGATTCTCCACGTTTTACATGGGCTTTGATGCCATAGTCACAGATCCTGCTAAGCCGAGTTTTTATTTAGTGAGTGTGGATTTAATTTTACCTCTCAAGTTTTTCAAGAAACAACACTTATTGTGGGTCTGGCTCTTGGTCAACTTGCCTTCCCTACCTGCCCTGCTTTTTCTTTCACCTTGCTTGCTGTTTCTTAAAGCTCCCCATAGGTTTTAGTGTAGTTTCTCTGCTTACCCAGGTAGGAAGTGCCTCTTTCAAGGGGCTCCATCTTTGGTATGGTGGCGGGGGTATCCCTGGTGTAGACTGAGGAGGGACACCTGTGCAGGCACCCACTTGAAAAACTTAGATTTTAGCCTGTAGCTTGAAGATCCAGGTTCACCAGCCAAATAGCACAGCATGGCTGAGAAGCTAGAACAGAGGCTTTCCTAGTAGGCTGTGAGTCTGAGAAGAAAGAAGATTGGGAAGAGGGAAAGTGCTGGCCTGAGGGAGGCCCTGACCCTTACTGGAAGTCTGAGAAGAGGCCCCTTAGAGAGGGTCAGGAGAATCTGATGCTATTCTCTGGTGGAATAGGGGCCGGGGGCCTGCCCAGAGTCTGGTAAGAGGACTCTCGTCTAGGAACAGCCTCAGTTTTGGAGCAGGAAGTTTTCCTCCCCCTGGAGGGAGGAGGGAGGTTGAACACATAAATGCTGGCATTTGTCTTTCTTGTTTTTCTCCTGTCCTCTTGCTGGGGTATGCATACTACATTCTGACTGTGCTTTGCAGGTGTGGACCTGGAGTTCACTTCAGGTTTTAGGAGGTCTGGAGATGGAAAGATACTTGCCCAGATTACATTATCACTGTTGGAGATGGGGAGCATGCACTCAGCAGGGGCTACCGAGGTTCCCTTGAGGCTGCTGTCAAGCAGTCAGGACCACTGAAGAGACTGCTGTTATCTGGAGTGAAAGGTGCCATGATGGAACCACACACCTGGGCGAGCACTGTGGGGTAGTGACCGTCCTGTGGGTGTGTGGAAGATGGCTGGAAGGGTGGCCTAGTGACATGCTGGCTCTGGGTCGGGCTGGGTGCTCTTGGCATTGCTCAACAGAGTTGACTACTTCATCCTCCTTGAAATCCTTTTACTTTTGTTATGTCTTCTGTTTCTCTGACTTCTCCTCCTCAGTCACTTGTGGAGATGTGAATACTTCTTTCCTTCTTTTTTTCCTGTTGATGTTTCTTAAACAGTGGTGCTTTTTTGTTCTCTATCCTGGTTGTTTTTTCTGTTTATTCTGCACATTCACACCTACCAGAGTGATCTCATCTTTTGCTGTAGCTTCAACTATCCTCTGTATGCTGATTTCTTCTAATCTTTTTCTCCAAGTGGAGAAAAGAAATCAATTTCATCTGCCACCTAAACACCACACCTGCATATCTAGCTACCTACTCTACATCTCCACCTAGATGTCCACAGGCCCCTTCAAGCTCAGATGTTATTGTTTTCCTCACACCCTGCCCTCCAGCATTCCCTCGAATAATGACTGGCACCATCTACTGAGTTGTTCTGTTGGAAATCCGAGAATCATCCCTTCTCGAACCATACCAATTAATTGCCAGATCCTGTTGACTCTGCCTCCCAGAGGTTTCTCAGATGTACTCCTTTCTTCCCATCCCTACTGTCCTGTCCTAGTCAAGATGATTATATTCTTCTTGGATTACTACAAAAGCCTTCTAACTAGTCTCTTTGACTCCAGTTTTGCTGCTTCTATTCCATTCTCCTAATTGCAGCAGATTATGTCATGCTTCTGCTTAACACCCTTCAAGGTTTGCCCTTGCCCTCAAGGGTGAAGACTACACTGTTTTTTGAGACTTTCAAGGTTCTTGCTTACATCTTTAGCCTCACCTCTCAATACTCTCTGTGCAAGTCCTGGATTCCTCCTCACCAGTCACATGGATGAGCTGGCCAGTTCCTAGCGATCCTTCTTTCTCTAGGTGCCTTCCTTTGTGTTCCTGGAGCACATCTAC